TAACGGATTTTATTTTTTGAAAATTGCCAAATTTGTACCAAATGGTGGAGGGTATTCAAGGTTCGGCCCAGCCGAACTTAAAGCTTTTTTACTTGTTAATATTCATATTAGGTTTAGGTCAGATTGGAAAATATTGGGCAATGCTTTCGGAACCCTCCCCAGGGGTCAAAAGTTAGAATAATTATAGCACAAGTCAATATATACGTAAACAATCTGACTTTGCTGAGGGTATACGTTAGTCGACAAAATCGACTGATACTTTTTAACTTCATCCATTTTTAACAAGCAAAATTTGCACAATCATCCTTTGGAAGTTGCTGATTACTTTGTTTGCTGCTTGTAATGCGTGTCTAGCGTGAATCATAAGCAATTTTAAACATCAATTTTAGAAAAATGTTTATGTTTTCTGAGAAAGACAATGCATTAATTTTCCATGGAAAAATTAGTCACCAAAAGTTTCATGCAAATATATATATATTTTTTAAATGATGTGATCAAAAATCATTGGAAATATTTGGCTTATTTTAATCATTAATTTCACTTAAAAAAGAAAATATTCAACGAATTTAACTTAATTTGTTAATTCAAAGCTGTTTTTTTTTAATAAATTATGAATAAAATTTAACAGGAAATTTAAAAAAAAAAATTTGCAAAAATATCTGTTAGAAAGCGCCGCACCACATGCATTGCTGTTTTGTTTTTTTTTTCTCTCGACCTGACACGCTTTCTCGTCCGCTAATCAAGCATAACATCACCAAGGGGTCACATTCCAAAAAAAAGAATTTAACCCTATGTTGTTATTGATGTTGTTGTTCGAAAATAGATTATGCCAAACTTTCACTAAATATCAATAAGCTACCTGTTTTGTTGATAGCAGGTTGTGGGCTCCTTGTCATTTGTGAGCTTAAAAAGGTAAGGATTTTTTGGTAGTAGTCTTATTTATTAAACAAAATATAAAAGAGTCTCTCCCTCTCTCTGTCTCCCATTAGCGATATTCTAACTTTTTTAATGCTGCTTTGTTATTACACTGGAAGAAATGTGCGAGGAAATAGAACATTTTTTACAGAGAAACCAGAGCAGTTTAAGAAAGTAAAACTAAAAGTATGAGATTCGTTTACCGGAGTTTTAAAATTTTTAAAAATATTCGATTTAAGATTCCTGCAATCCACACATGTTAGGTATAAAATGTTTTTCGGTAATATTACTGGTAAAATTTCGTCAATATTTAAGTTAAACAATCTAGTCATTAAAGGGATCCTTTAAGTCCTTTTCCTAACATTTCCAAAAACCCCAATAAAAATATTCTATCAGAGAAAACCCAAACTTCACAACTTAACTTCAAGACGCACAAAATCTGAGTATTGGGACAATATCTCCCGGGAATATTATTTTAAGGGGATGATGTCAAAAATAAAAAATAATTTATATACTTTAACAAAATATATTTATGTATGTATACATTTTGCGAAAAACACAAAGATATTTCCTACATTTTTGATATATTTTTCCTCAGCCTTTTTTTTTTGAGTTGAGGGATGGCAGAAGAAATAAAAAAATATTCTGTCTGTCGTAAGCACGTTATCTTTCGAACGAATTGATATAGAAGGCTACATTTTGCATACATGCATAGTTTACTAGTTGACAGGTTAAGTTTGTAAATGGGCCATGTCGGTCCATGTTTTCGTATAGCCCCCATAAAACGGTACCTCCCGATATTCGGTATTTTGATGATTTCAGCAACATTATTCGCCGGAATGGTTTCAAATTTCGTATGGAAAGGTCTGAATGGGTACTACAACCTATGGCAAACAATTTCGTATGCAGGTCCACGTCTTGTTATAACTCCATATGACGGTACCTCCCTATACTCGATATTTTCATAAATAGCGTACAGCCTATGACAAAAACATTCCTTATGCCGGTTCACATCCTCGTATAGTCCCCATATAACGGTTTTCATATAAGTGGTAGTTATCGGTTTTTTTTATACCCTCCACCAAAAAAGGTATGGAGGGTATATTAAGTTTGTCATTCCGTTTGTAACTCATCGAAATAATCATTTTAGACCCAACAAAGTATATATATTCTTGATCAGCGTAAAATTCTAAGACGATTTAGCCCTGTCCGTCCGTCTGTCCGTCTGTTGTAATCACGCTACAGTCTAAACGAATTAAGATAGGAAGCTAAAATTTTGCACAGATCTCTCTTTTGTCTGCAGGCAGGTCAAGTTCGAAGATGGGCTATATAGGTCCACAATATCGTATAGCCCCCATATAACGGTACCCCCCGATATTCGGTATTTTGATGATTTTACCCACATTTTTCAACGGAATTGTCTGAAAATCCACACAAGGAGTTCCTTGTGGGTACTTTATACCTCGGCAGAGAATTATCAATATAGGTCCACAATATCGTATAGCCCCAATATAACGGTACCCCCCGATATTCGGTATTTTGATGATTTTACCCACATTTTTCAACGGAATTGTCTGAAAATCCACACAAGGAGTTCCTTGTGGGTACTTTATACCTCGGCAGAGATGTGTCCATATAGGTCCACGATATCGTATAGCCCCCATGTAACGGTACCCCCCGATATTCGGTATTTTGATGATTTTACCCACATTTTTCAACGGAATTGTCTGAAAATCCACACAAGGAGTTCCTTGTGGGTACTTTATACCTCGGCAGAGAATTATCAATATAGGTCCACAATATCGTATAGGCCCAATATAACGGTACCCCTCGATATTCGGTATTTTGATGTTTTTAGCCATATTTTTCAATGGAATGGTCACAAGAGGTTCTTTGTACACAAGGCGTTCTTTGTGAGCACTTTACCCACCGACAGAGAATTCTCTATATAGGTTAACGATAACGTATAGCTCCCATATAACGGTACCCCGCGATATTCGGTATTTTGATGATTTTAGCCACATTTTCCAATCGTATTGTCTGAAAATCCACACACGGAGTTCCTTGTGGGTACTTTACACTCAGACATAGATTTGTCTTTATAGGTCCACAATATCGTATATCTCCCCATATATCGGCACCTTCCTATATTAGATATTTTAAAGATTTTAAAAGAATTTTTATTGGATTTTATTTTTTTGAAAATTTTCTAATTCGTTCCAAATGGTGGAGGGTATTCAAAGTTCGGCCCGGCCGAACTTACTGCTTTTTTACTTGTTTTTTTTTTTTTTTTGATAAGAAATATTTCAATTTCCCACCAAATGGTGGAGGGTATTAAAAATTCGGCCTGGTCGACATTTTTTTTTTTTTTTTTTTTGGACAAGTTTTTATTTTTGGAATGTTCTCTTCATAGGGGTAAATTCTGATTCCAAAAATTTTGTAACGTGTTAGTCATGTATATATTTATAAATACCTGATTTTTAAGTAAGATTTGGACCATTAGTCTATAGAGGGTATAGAGGGTGAGATAAAAAAAAAAGTCAAAACACCATAATTTAATAAATAAGCAAAAAATGTTGGAAATAACATGAAATATTGGAATAAGTTTAGATTTGGTCGAATTAGTCACCTTTGGCACGAATTATGGCCTTCTAATGGCTGAATGTTGCTCTGAGGTATTTTGGCCCATTCTCGACGAAGTGCTTGCTTCAGGTGATCGACACTTTGGTATTTTTTAGTGCCAACCTTGCCTTCCAAAATACTCCGGATTGGTATCCGTAGATTTTGGTGGGCATTGTGGGCTGGAAATGAAGCAACGAACCTCATTTTGTAACCAGTCTTGGGTGACGTGTGATGAGTGCTGAGTACGATGTTGCTGAGTACGATGTTGATGAGTCCTTTTGGAATGTCCAAGGTCTGCGGCAAAAATATTTGCGTGCCCAAGGCTTTAATACATCCTCCAAAATATTTAGAAATGACAGCAATCTGAAATTGGTTGCAGTTTTTTCATCTCACCCTTTATAGACATACACTTTTCAAAAAATTTCGGTATATTTCCAAAATCACTGACTGTAATATATTATTTCGAATTCTTCCCGCGCGCTAACCGATTATTATAAAGCTGTCGAAAACAAAATTCGACTGGTAACTTTTTGAGCTTTGCCCTTAAAAACAACACCTCGAAATATACATTTTAGACCCCACAAAGTATATATATATTCTTGATCAGCATAAAATTCTATGTCGATTTAGCGATGTCCGTCTGTGGAAATCACTCTAGCTTCCGAAAGCATTGGAGTAGATTAATAAAATTTTGCTCAAATGTATATTTTGTCTTTTTTTATTGAAAATGGGCCATGTAGGTCCACGTTTTGGTATAGCTCCCATATAACGGTACCTCCCGATATTCGGTATTTTAATGATTTTAGCTACACCATTCACTGATTTTTTTTAGTTTCGAATTTGAATATTGTAATGGCTTATAAAAAAATATACCTATGCCAGAGCTAAGCGACGTCAGTCATGCATATTAATTAATTCCAATGAAATGTCAACCATAAATTTATGATCTCAAAATCTTAAGCCTTTTTATTGGAATTTCACACCTTTCAATTAAAAAGTGGAATTGTCGATCAATCGAAGACATTAGTAATTTTCCCTATTTAAGATGGTAAAGTGTATAGGCACCTGTTAAGACCGAAAATCCTTCATAGTCTAAAATAATTTTATTAAAATTATTAAATACTAGTGAAAGTGATCAAATGAGATTGAGCTTGACCCTTTTGAAACAACACCCAGCTTCCCATGCCAATTCCTCATTTCATTTAGAACCTTCACAATTTTTCTACGTGTACACCAATTGGCCAAGAATATATTATCAAGTGAAGTCAGTATGTGAAGATTATTAGCAGCAGCACTGTTGACCCGTATGTAACACGCACATCTGTATCATCATAACGTTAGCATCCACTAACCCAACGAACGCTACGACGCTCAGTCTTGGGTCGTTAGACATCATCATCATCATCGTCGTCATCATCATAACGAACAGGGCAAAAAACAAATCGTCTGGTCTTATAACAACAAAACTAAGCGCAAAATAAAAAGCACAAGCTTGCCGCTCGCTCGAGCAGTTCAAATTGTGTATCGCGTGTCAAAACAAGTGTCAGCATTGTGTCAATCGTTCCGTTACAGTTGTGCCGAAAACGAACGTCGCCTATAAAACCGAGGTGTTAAGAAACAATTGCACCAGTGATTACAAATAATGTCCAGACTGCCCTCGTACTGAGCAGATGTTAGAACAGTAAAGTGCGAGAGTGAGAGTGTGTGTGTGTGCATTAAACGAAACGAAACAAAATAATGAATAAAAATTTAAGCCTTTTCACCTGGGCATTAATTGCCCTGGTTCTAAGTTGTGGGTGTGTTGCATATCCCACCGAATCGGATGCGGAACAGACAACTGAGTCGCCCATTGCCGATATGGCTTTGGTGGGTAAGTACGAAGAATAAAATAACGTGGCAAGGAATTTACGAACCTTTTAATACCATTGAAATTGTTGTAGATACCCATATGAAGGATAGCAAATCGGAAACCGAAGTCCAGGGTCAAGCCAAACAACAGTCGACTAAGGCTGATAGTGCCCAACCTCAGACAATTGCCGATTTCGTCATCCACCCCTTGATTGCATTGAAACCCAGAACTCCCGAAGAACCTGCCGCTGAGGGCAAACAAGCCGGCACCACAACAACCCCAGCCCCATGGCAATTGTTTGGCTTTAATCCTGCCCAGAGTTTGGGTTCCTCAGTGTCCTCTTTGGCTGGCACCGTTAGCGGTTGGTTGGGCAATCGCATCCAAATTCCCGGTTTGATTGATACACCTGTTGGTGAGAGTACAACAACCACCACCACCACTACTACAACTCCTCGCCCCGACGTCATTGTACGAGTACAACATCGTCCTACAACTCGCAGACCTTTGATGAACAACGATATCCCCAATCGCCCACATCGTTTCAGCAACAATGGCCCCTATGATTCCGAGGAGTACTACGATGAGTACGACAACGATTACGATTCGGATTATGACAATGACTTTGACAACAATGACGTAGACTTCGAACGTGGCGATGATGACTTCGACAACGAGGATGATGATGAAGGTTTCGAGGACGAAGAAGAAGAGGAGGAAGAGGACGAAGAAGAGGAACGTCCAGTGCGCAAGCGTCGCCCCAGCAGCAGCAGTAGCAACAAAAACAAAAAGAACAAAAATAAAAAGAAGACCGATCAAAAGAAACGCAAGACCAACAAGGATCGCAACGAAAAGCGTAAACGTCCCGTAAAAGTCGACAGCGAAGAAGATCTGGATGACGATGAGGATGATGATGATGAGATCGATCAAATTTTCGAAGACTACGATGCAGCAATCAACAATGACTTCTTCTATGGCAAAGGACATGCCTCCACAAAACGTTCCCAAAACCAACAAAGCTTCATCCAATTGGGTCAGCAAAATTTGATTGATCAAATCCGTCAATTGACAAGAGGACAATCATTCTTGGAATCTGGCACTGGCTCGGGCACACGCAAGGGATCTTCGACGAAACAAACTCGTCCCCAAGCCACCCTGATCATCAATCGCAATGGCCAGACCATGGTCATTGGTCCCGAACATGTAGAATTGGCACCAACCACTAACAACAAGGTTTCACAGACCACCACATCGTCAGCCAGCTCTGGCCGTCGCCCTGCATCCAATTTCCCTCAACCACCATTGACTGTACCCCTGAGACGTAAGGGTCAACCCACCCAATACATTACAATTCCCTGGAGTCAATTGGGCATTGCCACACCACACAATGTCGTCTCTGTAACCGATGGCATCCAGACCCAACCCTTGATCCTGAATATTCCCCAAAGCGCTTTGGAGGCCATGACAAATCCCAGACCCAACAAAAACAAGAAACCCATTATCACCTCTGATGCTGTTCCCCTCTTGGCCGAAGCCTCTTTGATGGATGTCTTCAAACCACCCCAAATACCTCCAGCACGTACCCCCTCCGGCACCAGAAATGCGCTCAAGCCATCGTCGTCAGTAAAACCAGTTATCATCACCACCAAAACAAAGCAACGAATCCGTCCTGGTACAATTGTTGAGAAGGCTCCCGAAGTGAATGAAATGGAAAACCAAAAGGATTCCAATAATATGGAAGAGAAACAAGAGGGAAATACCATGGCCGAAGAAGAACAGACCCAATTCATTGTAATTGGTGATGATGGTGAAGCAGGTTTGGGTCGTCATGCCTATGGCCATTTGTCTGAGGCACGCAAATTCCAGCCATTGAACCCTTATTTCCACATTTTGCAAGGTCAACCCCTCAATTTGCGTAGAGGCCGTGATTTGGAAATGAATGTGGAAGAGGTTGCTCCAGTTAATGGTGAAGAACCTGTCAAAACGGAAGTTTCTGATGCCGCTGAGAAAGAAGATGTTATGGTAATGGAGGAACCCGTTATGATGCAGGAGGAAGCCGTCATGGACAAGGAACCAATGATGGAAGAACCTGTCATGTTGAATGAACCTGTTGTGGTTGAGGAACCAGCCATGGTAGAGGCCAGAAATGCTCCCGTTGAGATCGTGGAAGAGCCAGTCATGATGAAAGAAGAAGCTATGGTCGAAGAACCCGTAATGATGGAAGCCATGCCAGCTGCCGTAGAAAAGGAAGAAGTAATGAAGATGGAGGAACCAGTCGTTATGATGGAAGAAGCTCCCGTTAGCCAGAACGCCGAACAATTGATTCCCGTCCAAGTTGTAACCTCCGAATCCGATGCAATGAAAAGCTCTGATGCGGTAGCTGAAAATACCAAACCAGAAGAAGCCAAAACAGAATAGTAAGCATTATTTCTTGAACTTAAGGAAATAATATTTTTAGGAGCGATCGAATAAGGATTTTTTTTAAAGATAAGAAGTATTAATAAACGAAAAAAATAATTATTTAAAAAAAGCTGAGATTTTCTTTGGAAGTCGGGGTAATTTTGAGGGACTGTTAGAGAAAAGGGGAGAATAAAATTTCAAAGATATGAAAATTTCGAATTTTTTGTTTGTTTCAGAAAAAAAAAATAATTTCATTTTTATTTTCATAAAAGTTTGTATTTCATCTGAAAATTTAACCTTAACAATTTCATAAAATTAGGTATTTTAGCTAATTTTAGGCCAAGATTACAAAGTCGTTTATCTTTTCATTTTATGCATATCATAGCAAATTTATTTTAATTTCCATTTTGGTATTCTTGTGAGCTTTTCTTTGGAATTCTAGAAAAAAAAACTGGCTTCAGTTCTAGACCATCTATCTAGGTCAATTGCCCTATTGAATGCTTAAAATTCCTATTGGCAACATTTTCGACCAAAACGACTTCGGCCATTGCCCTTTGCTTTGGCAAATTTCTCCACTCTGACCCTTTAATGAACTTTCTTTTGTTCGGCATTAACATCAATAAGCCATAGGTGAGCAGCTAATTTATGCTTTTCACAAAAACACTAGCAGCTAATCAAAACATCTAAAAATATTAGTTAAACACATCTAACAACAAAGTCATTACCCAAGAAAGCCCAAACAAAAACAACTCTATTAGCGTGTGTGGTTGGGAACAACGGTATCAAACAACGACAACAACAAACACACACACAGAAAAAATCTGGTCATAAGTGGTGGCTTCACACATATCATTATTGTTGCTGTTGTTGGCCTCTTTGTTATAACTGAGCGTTTCAAATTATTTAAATTAGGTTGAAAATAGCCTGTGATTAATGATAAGGTTATTTCGACAAACGCTTCTTCCCCTCGAAGAACATCGTTCTGTCATCTTCTTGTGTTTTGTAAAATATTTGCAATACAAAACGGATTGTTGACCCCCGGTTTGTGACACCAAAAGCATGGATAGAAAAAGAAGATGTCCAAAAAAAACTAACGTTATATTTATATCATAACGGTAAATTGTTACTTCGACTGCTCACATATACACTCGGCAACTTGGCAAGAATATGTGTCAGCATCTATATATGTATGATCATTATAATTATAAACAACACGTATGAAGATAATTTTTTTTTTATTTTTTTTTTTTTTGAGGGGGGTCTCTACAGAAAAGAATTAATGATCATTAGTTCGGTTAGATTCATCAGTGAAGTAGATCGCCTAACAGAACTTGGCGAAACAATATCTCCAAAGAAACAAAACACCAACGAAACAGCTGATTGTATGGCTAGCACCCCATTGTGCCTTTGTGTTACAGGAAATAGCTTTTTTTGGAGGGAGGGTTTTGTAAACATCAGATTCTCGCCATGCCAAAGCCAATCTCTGAGCTTAACACGTGTAATTTACATAAAAACCAAAAACACATCAAATGCGAATGTGAAAGTTAATAATTTGCGCTTAATTTGGGGTTGGCATGGCAAGATAACAAATTTAAACATATTCTATGTTTAAATTTTTTCGTTACTTATTTAACGGCCTCCAAAGTTCCTCCACGATGTGGAAAGTAAGTGATATATGTTATTTCAGCCATTAAGAAAATTGTAATAACAAATTATTTGGTTGCTACACGAAAACGTGGACCGACCTATACAGGGTGAGATGAGAAAACTGCAACCAACTTCAGACTGCTGTCATTTCTAAGCCACTCGTCCGACAGCTGTTATAATTATTCCAGTGACAGCTCATTATATTGTTTACAAGCGTACAAAAGCATTTTGGAGAGAATTTTCCAGATGGAATTCAAGCGTGATAGTGTGATTTCTTTATATTTGGCTGGAAAACCAAAAGTGGCTATCGTTTGAGCACTCCAGCATTTAAATGTGAATAAATCGTTTGTGTCTCGTACCATCGCTCGTTACCGTGATACTGGTAGCGTAGCCCGACGTCAAGGAAGTGGAGGGAAGAAAACAGCAACATCAGCCGAAATGGTTCGAAAAGTAAAGAAGGGACTGAATCGAAACTCGTGAGCTGAACTTATCGCAATACCCCATTCGGGAAATATTGACAAATGGGATAAAGCCATTGAAACTCCAAAAAGAGCAAGAACTTACACCGCAACAGGAAGAAAATATGCTCAAAAGAGAATGTGCACCTTCGGTTGATCACCAAAATTCATACGCCGGCCATGGTGATGGTGTAGGCCGCCATAACAGGCGATAGTCGCACTCCGCTCGTATTAATCTACGGTGGCATGAGAATAAATGCCGAATATTATTTAGCCGCAGACCTTGGGATATTCCAACAGGACTCAGCACGAGCCACCCAAGAATGGTTACAAAATGAGGTTCCTCGCTTTATTTCCAGCGCACAATGCCGCCAAAATCTCCGGATACTAATCCGTAGGACTATTGGGTCCGGAGTGTTTTGGAAAGCAAGGTTGGCACAAAAAATACCAAAGTGTCGATCACCTCAAGCAATCGCTTCGGCGGGAATGGGCCAAAAAACCGCAGAGCAACATTTGGGCTGCGTCTGACGATTTCATTGGCCGTTTGAAGGCCATAATTCGTGCCAAAGGTGACTAATTCGAACAAATCTAAACTAATTCTTAAATTTGATGCTATTTCCGATATGAAAGCATTTCATTCAATAAAACATAAAAAAAGTGTAAAAATAATGGCGTTTGACTTTGTTTCAGTTTTTTTATCTCTCCCTGAAATCGGATGAAGATATGTATGGAAGCTATATCTAAATCAGGACCTATCCCAATAAAACATGGCAGAGGCATTTGTGAGGTCTTTGAGATATATTGTACCAAATATCATTGTTGTGCCGTGCATACTACGAATGTGAGGACTTAAATACCAAATTGGATGAAACATATATGTAGGAGCTATACCTATATCTGAACGGATTGTAAATGTAGTCTATGAGCAAGTCCTTTACCTCAAGGCTGAATTTGGGTGTGAGTGCCAAGAACTCACTCCATTTGGGATAAAATTGGTCATTTTGTGCGCAATAAACCTGAAATCCAATAATGATATAAATGAAAGCTACAACTATATCTGAAGCGATTTTCGCCAAATTTGAAGTACTTGTTTCTACGCTAAAGTCGGTCGGATGTACCAAAATTCACTCTATTTGGTACACAATAAACGGGAAATCGGATAAAGATATAAATATATAGATATAGATATAAATATATATCCTTGGACCAAAGAAATAATATATGGAAAATTTCACCTAAATCGGACAATAAATGCGACCTACATGGGTAAATCGATTTCGAATGTGATTCTTTGAAGATCATCAAAGGAAACTATGGGTCTATCTCGATTCGAATGCAGAAAAACATAATACCCTAAACACAGCGTGGTGTAGGTAAATTAATAGAAAATATTTTCAGGCTTTGTCGGCAAAGTTGAAAAAGAGAGATTAATATAGCGAAATTGATAATGATATTTTGTTAATATTTGATGTAAATATCGATTTTATGTCTATGGAAACTTATAGTGAAATTTAACGTTTAATATTTTTGTCTTTGACGTCATCGCCATAAAATGATGTTTTGTGGAAATATTTTCCATAAAATCAGGTGAAGTGCGAAATTAACCCTCAAACGTGTTACTTTTTTTTAATTCTACAAATTTCTTAATTTTAAGTAATTTTATGGGCATTTTGTACTTTCGAATCTTTTTTAATCTTATATTCAACTTCTTTAGAAAGTTTTAGATTTTTTTTTTGGGAAAAGTACCTAAAAATCCTTACCCCTCTATTTTGGTTACCGATTTCAACGTTGATAATACTGATACACGTGTCTCATTTTGGCCATTGCTCGTGTGATTAGTAAAAAAAGATTACCAAAATCCATTTTTAAGTAGATGCAATGAATATTTATTCCACCCGATTGTGGATTTTTTAACTTTTAAAAGATTAAGATTGAAACCATTTTCGATTTCTATTAGATCAGGGAAATTCAGTGCAAAATTGTCTAGACATAAACTCTTGATTTTACGATACGTATTTATATTGATCTAGTAAACGAAATTCATACTATATTTTTATTGCCAAATTTAAATTATTGCAAAAATAGATCAAATATTTCAAATCAGTCTAGATCCATAATAAAACCAATGACAACAAACTATAAACGCCACAAAGACAAGCAGCTATGAATGCCGGCTTCTTTCTAAACACAATCAAGAGGCCATTAACGAAACAACTATAAAATTGGAACACAAACTGTTTTTTTGTGAAATTTTCAATCAAAAAACGAATAACTGGATTCCACGCTAAGCAGCTTAAATCGATTAACATTCTGATTGACTACCGTTTTATCGATATTTTTGCAAAAATTTATTAGCGAGTGATTTCAGTGAGTTTTCGAAATAAAAATTTGCCATTTCGAGGAATTAAAAATAATAAAGTTATTTCATATTTGATTGAAAGCTGTTGGAGTTTTTCTTTTCTTTTTGATTTTTTGAATACCAACGACTTTCACTGTGATGAGTATAATTTGACGGGCATTCTGTCTAAAGATTGAAAATGTTGTATTCAAATTTATTAGTTTTTGTCTAAATATTTTGCTCTATAATCTCTGACGAAAGCATTTGTTTTCAGATACCTTTCACTATGTTTTCTACACAAAAGTTACAAATTTAGAACAGCAAGGCTTTGTGCTAAGAATAAATCTTTTTATAATAAAATCAAAAAAATTCCAACAGTATTTCCTAGTCTCACAAAGTGAAATTGGGCCACTAACAAAACGTGTAATATGAATAATTAGTAACGTGTTAAGATCTCTGTATACCCCATCGATGCAGCTATTTCGGGACCAATTTTTGTATTTGTCTAGATACAGGCCTCCTTCATATAACGAGTAATTTCATATTGAGGCATTTTAACAATATTGTCTTTAATTATACCATGCAACACTATGTGTTGGGGGTATTATAGGTTTGATTGGGCCAAAAATTATGTAATACCTCGAAATATTGGTTTTCC